AGAGCGACAATGGTGTTTGACTTTTGCAGATGACTCGAAATTGCAAGGTTTGTAAACAGGAGTAAACAAAAATCTTGGAAGCAAAGAGCATTACAAAACAAGAGCCGGCAGGGGAGTTGATTTGTACCTACCCCAAAATCCATGAATATCTCAAAAAAATTCCTTTCAAACCATAAGTTGTTTTATTCCAATTAAGATGACTTAACCAACATGGCGTGAAGCAATTCATCTCTGCATACACCTATATATACGTCAAAAATCATGCTGATACGGTGGCCATACAAAGCCCCCAGAGCAACACAATTAGTCGCAATTGAAGACTAGGAATATCAAAAAGGCTATTGGGATTCCAAAAATGAATCGCTTAACCCTTGCTTTGCTTATCCTTCTCCTTGCTTTGATCTTTCAGGTACCATCTACGCAGTCTAGGATGCTTTTTAATGCAGAGAAGAAAGAAGTCTTTTCCCCAAAGGACAATTTGGTTCCAGTTGTTCTTCCTAATAAGCCTACAGCGCCACCTTCTCCAACTGAGAAAGATCACATAATGGCTAAGGATGAAAGGCTATTTGCTCTTCATCTTGCCAAAATTGATCGAATATTGCAGTCAGTACCAAGTCCTGGACGTGGCCACCACTAGGCTCATTTGTCTCCCCATTGTCTTCACTGTAGCCTTAATGCAGTCTCATTCTTAATCGCTAGTGAGCAAATAAGTTTGAAAATGCCCAAGAAATAAAGATTATTATGGTTGTCTTACTCTTATGTTGGTACTTGCGATGTGCCACAATTTGCAATTTTAATTGTAATAATGGCTAGCATCTTTCTGACAATAAAAAATGCCAGTCAGCTTTCCTTGTACGATATATGAAGCAGCTCACACAAAAATGCTGAATTGTCTTTTCTGTTGTTCTTCATAGCAGAGATGGTTGCTCGTAAGCCTCCAGCCAAAAGCCATTGATAATAGGTTGAGAAGCTAAACCTGCAAGAACTCTAATACTGCTGACGTCGGCTCTAAAACACTACAGATCTTTATTTAAAAAATAAAAATGCCTCCAGCTTATTTCAATATTTCCTATATTCTAATTAAATGCCAAAATGTATCAATCTTTGCAGATGGCACAGGTTCCTGAAATTTGTTCATCAGATGTATTTGTGGTATTGAAATACATTTAATTTATTGCCTCCAAAAAAGAAATGTATATCTATACATTGATTATTGATAAAAGAAAGGAAAATAAAATTAAAATCAATGTATTTTTCATAGAAAAATGAACAGAAAACATTGTTCCAGCTAGGTGAGGTTAGATTTGGCCCGCCATGCATAATGTACAGAACAGGTGGCCTTCTTTCTCTGTTTTAGTTAATCAAAATCATCAAGGATGGGAAAACACTCATAGACAGAGTAGAATCTGCCAAATTGTTATTAGGAAATAACATTCTGCAGAATTTGTCAACTGCTGCTGAATGATTTAGTTTAGAGCAACAGTTCTTGCTTCAAACCTGAGAAAGACTTTGTCAACCTCTATCCAGTGCTATTGTGTCTGCCTTGATTGTCCTCTGTACTCATTAAACATACAAAATGATAATATGTGATAGATTGCCTAACAGGCTAAGACTTGCATCAAATCAATAGAGTAATATGTACCAATTATATATGTTTTCTAACTTATAGAACCATCCTTTTTACTCTGTTTTCCTTTTTAGGTCCTAGTGGTAGCCGTGATGACATAACCAACCCACTTCATGATCACAACACATTTTTTTATTGACAGAAATGGTTGACTAATATTATTCAATTAGTAGGCAAACTAATGGCCCTCCAGGCAAGGGAATATGTTACAGTTCTCTCCTTTACTGGATAGTTTATGCTCTTGACTTTTATTCTTTTTGGATAGTTTAAGGATAGACTTTTACAATGACCAATAAGAGCATCTGATCTCTATCCAATGAATGATGCACTTTTTTGCAATAAGTCCTCAAATACACCTTAGCCTGCAGATATATATATATATATATATATTGCAATTATACTGACTCTAAATAATAAAATAGGTTAATATATATGTTCTATGTTCTTGGAAGGTCATGAGAATATCATGTTAGTAGCCAAATCAACTAGCTTAAACAAACAAGTAAATTCTCTAATCTATGCAAAAAATGTTGGATCTCACAATCCATGGAAATGGTCTTTCGCCGTCATAGACAACTTGAAATTGCAAGCTGAAAGGTGGATTCCAGAAACAAAAAAAGAAAGCTTTATCTGTTAGATTTCAGCGTTTGTAGTCATAGATGCAAGGACAATGCGTGAACTTACTAAATAACAAAAACCGGCTGTGTAGTTGATTTGTGCCTACCTTAAAGTCCATGAATCTCTTATTTTAGTCCAAACATGCTAGCACCTAGCTGACTTAGCCAACACGATGCTATCTGATTCCTTGCCTATATATATAAACTTCAAAACCAATGTCTTAGACAAGGCCTCATTACCAATCTGGCTCTCCTCTAATCATACACTGTGGTACCTCCTCCTTGTGTTCTAAAATGACTCGTTTAAGCATAGTTTTGCTTATCTTTCTCTTATCTTTTATCTGCCAAGAACCACCATCATCAGAAGCTAGAAAGCTTTTGAACATACAGGAAAAAGAAGTCCTTTCCGAAAAGAACAATTTTGTTTCAAGTACCGAGCACAGGAAGCCTACACCAGCAGTTTCTCTTGGCAGTAAAGGTCACGAAATGGTTGAGAAGGAAAGGCTCTTGACTCTTCACCTTGCCAAAATTGATCGAATATTACAGTCTGTCCCAAGTCCTGGAGCAGGCCACTAGTCACATATTCCTCCCCCTTGTCTTCCACTTAGCTTTCGGAAACAATGTCAGAAGTTCTCTCTGTTTCTTTATACATTTTAAGGGTGTTGTTTTATCATCTGGATTTTCTGTGATCTGGTTTATGAACATGCCGGCATAATATACTTAAGAAGCTTTCATTTTATTTTCACTTTTACCTTTTAAAGGAGCTGAGGGGGTGTTCTGGATAATAACTAATTTGAAATTAGAAAGGAAGAATGATCTCAGTATGTTTCCAGAATCAAAATTTACAATTTCAACTTTTAATCATTGCTCGAATCTCCTGTGCAAAATGGCAGCCTGTGTAGACTACCAAAACATTTACTCTACAAATTGCTCTTCCCTTGTCTACAATTATCTGCAACTTTCTTGAGCACATTATCATTTTCTTGATGCTAAATTTAGAAGCCAAAAAAGCCTGACATGTGTTAAAGACTAATGTATGGAATCAGAAGCTTACTCTCGGATAATTGTTACAAATAATCTCAAATTTTTTAGAACATAAGTTGTTCTAATGTTCTAAAAAATACATAGAACAGGACGTAACAGGTGGTTTGAGAGTTAAGCACACCCCTGAACCTCACTAAGTCAATCCAGTATTGTTCTTTATCTTAACCAGAGAGATCATTGATCTACCAGCTAGCCAAGAGTAAAGTATATGCCAATCCTGAGACAGTCAATGAAACTTCTTTTTTGTTTTCATTCCACAAACAACTTTGTTTGGACTAATCAAATGTAGTAATCACGTTTTAAGCCTTCTTTTTGAGAATCATAATTAGAATAGAAAAGGGATTGTGAGATGTAAACCTTGATATATTTCTTGTGTCATTTTACATTTCTTCTTAAAGGCTTGTGAGATTGAAAGACTAAAGAATAAGTAACGCGTAGCCTTAAAGGCCTAAATGAAACTATAATATTCAAGAGGGCATTTCTCTTGCTTCCCTGTCAGCTTTTTTTTTTTCTTCCCCCTTTCTACGTTGCCAACCAGAAAAGCCAAAAATTAAAGAATAATCTTGCAGCTACTCTAAACGGAAAGCTTGCCGCCGCTGAATACCTGCACTTGAGCCAACTTTCATCAGTAGGCCTTTCCAGTCTAATTGCACATGCAAACAAGTACCGGATTGATTATTTAGGATATTGTTTAAAATTGTAAATATGTTGAATACTGAAAGATTTCTCCAAAGACAGTGTAAAATTTCTGGAAATTAACCAAGCAAGCATGAAGAAGAAGAGGAAGAATACAAAGCAAAAGAAGAAGACCTTTGGCCTGACAAGTAAAGGTGAAAACGATGCTCAAGCGGAGCATGTAAGAGAAACAATAGACACTGAACAAAACGACACTACAAGTTGTCGTATGCTCCTATAACTAAAACAAATAAGAAACGACAGCCTACTCATGGTTTAATCAAGAGAAAATCGTGAGGAATAAATAAGGGCATTTCAAAAATAACTATCAAAATAAGTTTAAATGTTTTTAGTCATATTTAGCCATGACTTGACAAAAATACTCTTAAAATTATTTCAAATAAATTAAACTATTCATAACAATTTCTCTCCATTTGTGTTTCCGATTTCTCTCTCTCAACATCACACTCTCTCTAATTTTATCGATTTCTTTCTTTGGCATTCGTCTACTATACTCCCGATTTCTCTATCTCGCACTTTCAGATTTTTCTTTTCAACACTTTGGAGACACCAAACGATGATTTTGATGTACTTGAGTGAATGGCTATTTGGAGAATTTGATTTTTAGGTATTTTGGATAAAATTAAATAGTAAAAATGATTACAGATATTTGAAATAGCTTTTAATTGGATCAATTCGAGATTTAGACACCAATGAACTCAAAATTTTAAAATTTATAAACCTAGGTTTTCAATGAAAATTTTTTCGATTTTTAGTCAAAATAGGTGTTTTAGATAAGAAAATTTATGTTTTGATTTATAAAAATATGTTAGAAACATTTTAATTAGTGCCAAATTGTCAAAGAAACAAAAAGAAATAAAAAGAGTTGAGAGGATTTGAAGTTTTAGTTTGTAAATAACAACAACAGTTTAAGGATTAAAGTGTAATAAAATGTTTTTGAATATGGTATGTAACAACAATATTTTTTCAACATGGTGTGTAATAACAGTATATTTTTTTTAACATGGCGTGTAATAACATTTTCTAACCATGGTGTGTAACATGTTTTTATATATAACGTGTAACAACAGTATTATTTAATATGACGTGTAACAACTTAACCATGATTTGTAACATGTTTTTGTACATGGCAAGTAACAATTTAACCATAGCGTGTAACAACCTAACCATGATATGTCACATGTTTTTGCACATGACGTATAACAACCTAACCATGGCGTGTAACATGTTTTTGTACATGGTGTGTAACATCATAGCGTGTAATTTCATTAAAGGTAATTTTATCCAACTTGGTTAAAAATAGTTAAAATTATAAAGGAGGCTATTTTTGAAAACATCTTATCTTTGAAGGTTATTTTTTAAAATGCCTCTTTAATCAACATTAGTACCGGACACTAAAATGACAGAATAAAGTTCCGTTTCACAAACTTAACCAAACATACAAAATCTATACGACATTGCTTTGCATTGCCATAAACCCTTCTTCAACTCTTAAACTTCTTGTTCCTTCCCACCATCATTAGTAGCTCAGTTACAAATTAAAGGTCAACCTTCCAACACTTCCCCTTGACTTGTAATCTGGCAGACACCTAGACAAGTTCTGAGAGTTTCAAACCTTTTTTTATGCAAACCCTTTGTCAAAATATCATCCGG